CTCCTGCTCCCTCTGAGCTAACAGCCCCCGTAACGTGGTGGCCTCCTCTCTCAGACTCTCGATCCGCAGGTCTTGGAGGACCTCTAAAATAGCGGCCTTCTCCTCTCTAGTCAGCCCTTTCACGGCCTCCTGCTGCCTCGTCGTCCACCCCGTGAGCCCCCCCAAAATGGTGCCGTCGGTGTCGCCGTTGCTCCTCTCTTACCCGGGCTTCCTCTGTCTGTTCCCAAGGACGGCGATCCATCCCAGCCTGGATCTCCTCCCATGTCCAAGATCCCTTACCATCCAGGATCTCCTCCCATGTCCAGGATGTCTGCTCCTGGCCACACTGCTTGGTCCTCGTTTGGTGGGATCTTCTGTCACAAACGTTGAGAGACGGGTCAGACCAAGGTGCAGTGTGAAAAGCGCACATGTTTATTAAACTCAATAAACATAAACAAAACAAGAAACAACGTAACGCTCAGGCTATACACATACAAGCCTAACAGGGAACAAGATCCCACAATAAACAGTAGGCAATAGGCTACCTAAGTATGATCCCCAATCAGAGACAACGAGCGACAGCTGTCTCTGATTGGAAATCACACCCGGCCAAACCAAATACACATCTAGATCCTAAACATAGAAATTCTAACATAGATCCTCACACCCTGACCAAACCAACTAAAGACAACCGGCCTCTCAAGGCCAGGGCGTGACAATCTGTCCATAGGACCACCTTAAGCCGTACACTCCACAGAGCTGGGCTTTATGGAAGAGTGGCCAGAAAAAAGCCATTGCTTAAAGAAAAAAATAAGCAAACACGTTTGGTGTTCACCAAAAGGCATGTGGGAGACTCCCCAAACATATGGAAGAAGGTACTCTGGTCAGAAGAGACTAAAATTGAGGTTTTTGTCCATCAAGGAAAACGCTATGTCCGAGAACACCATCCCCACAGTGAAGCATGGTGGTGGTAGCATCATGCTGTGAGGATATTTTTCATCGGCAGGGACTGGGAAACTGGACAGAATTGAAGGAATGATGGATGGCGCTAAATACAGGGACATTCTTGAGGGAAACCTGTTTTAGTCTTCCAGAGATTTGAGACTGGGACGGAGGTTCACCTTCCAGCAGGACAATGACCCTAAGCATACTGCTAAAGCAACACTCGAGTGGTTTAAGGGGAAACATCTAAATGTCTTTGAATGGCCTAGACAAAGCCCAGATCTCAATCCAATTGAGAATCTGTGGTATGACTTAAAGATTGCTGTACACCAGCGGAACCTATCCAACTTGAAGGAGCTGGAGCAGTTTTGCCTTGAAGAATGGGCAAAAATCCCAGTGGCTAGATGTGCCAAGCTTATAGAGACATACCCCAAGAGACTTCCAGCTGTAATTGCTCCATGTAAAAAAACATACAAAGATATTATAAAACAAAAAGTTACAAAATAGTCAAAATAATTATACAAATTCTAATTTGGGTTGGTTTATGGAGTTGTGGAATTGGCTGGGTCCATGTCTTTTTCAAAGTATAGGAAAGGTTGCCAGATATGATAAAATGTAATTGAAGATCGCCTAACGGAGTAGCGTATTTTCTCTAGCTTGAGATGTTGCATAACTTCCTTTATCCAATGGTTAAAAGTAGGAGGAAACCGATCCTTCCACTTAAATAGTAGTAAATGCCAGCATGTTGCCCATAGAACTGTTTAGAGGGGACTTGTGGTGCCACTCCGAACAATGCAATAAAGGCAGAATGTTCTATAGGTCTTTCCAGTATTTTAGAAAACTCAAAAATTGATATTCAGAAATCTGTCAATTTCGGGCATGTCCAAAACATGTGTAATAAAGTAGCAGGAGCCTGCTGACGTCGGTCACAAATGGGATCTATTTCTGGTCTAATCTTGGATAATTTTGCCTTTGACCAATGGGGCTGGCTAAGATTGTTGACAACATGTAAACTATATTTCATCTCTAATGTTTATTGAAAACATAAATACATTTGCACAATGAGCACTTGTCTCTCAAATACATTGTTACAGTTATTGGTTAGCTAGCCAGCAAATGTTTTGCCATATTAGCATAGATGTGGCAACAGTCAAAACACCTAAAAAACAAGACATGGTATCAAGAACAAGCTAAAACTAGCTGAATCGAGGCACCTAGGATTCCCCACATGGCAGCTTCTTGTCATTGTTGCTAGCTATCTGGCCATCCAGAATCACAACAACACAAGGACTTCTGCTCCATTGAAGCGTGCACATCGTTTTCGAGACGTTGTCAGCTAACCTGTCTATAGAGATATCTGTAGGACTACACTACTGCCTCATTAAAAATAAATTCATTCATTAAAAATAACCAGTCACACTTTACTGTAATTTTTTTACACAAATGCCTGTACTACAGTTACATTTGCAGACAGGCTACTGTGTAATGACACATTATTGTGTGTGTCTGTGCATGTGTGTGTGTGTGTATCAGCAGTCACACCTCTCCCTCTCAGATGCTTCCTTCCACCTACTACAAAAGAAGCAGAATATGCACATAACTTCCTTCTTGAGAGGTATAAGAGGCCACATCCTATTCTGGGCTTCATAAAGAGGAACCTTCAACAGCTCACATACAGAACCTCTGCCTCAAGCATAAATAAAAAAGTAATGTAAAGACAGTGGAGTGATCAGAAGATAATTAGTGGGTAAGACTTTCTTTCAGGTTTTAATGTATATTTATGTATTTGTCTAAATTGACAGGATTGACTATCAGGAACAACTACAGGGAATATAGGCCTATATGACAACTTAGCAGTGTAAATATATTTTTGTTTATGTAATTCTACTGACACTAAAGGACTAGGGTGGGGATTCAGTACAAGGCTCACGTGTAAATTGCCTTTAAATTACCTTTACTGTAAATTATCAACTCAAATACATTGCTTTGCAATCGGGAAAGTGCAATATGTTACAACAAGTTAATAAAATGTTAGTGTTATTACAGAGGCATAAGTGTTAATGGTAATATTTAAAAAAAACTAAATATAAGACTAAGTATCTAAGGGAATTTCCAAACACTGCCTTGTTGAATCGACTACAGCCAAGGTACCAGTAGGTGGAAAATAATGTTTATTTGTGTTAAGAGTAAAATATCCCTTTAAAGTTGGTATGATGTGTGTGTTTGAAACAAGATTACACCTTATTTGTACTTCTCACCATATTAATTTGTAGTGCTTGACTTGTACTGAAATAGGTGCCGGTACTCATTTTGGGTGCCGGTACTGTTTAAATTGGTGTAGGACCTCCACAATACTTTTGAGCTAATATTCTAAAAGAGGAACAGGAGCTCAAGCAGTAGAAAATGTTAAGTGCCGGGACTCAGCTCCGGTGAGCTCCTGCCCTAGTCAAGCACTGTGAATTTGGACAGTGAAGCTGTCAAATTTTATTGCGTTACAACGTGAGATTAGAATGGATTTGATCGCCTTTTTTTTGGTCAATGATCTACACAAAATATTCTGTAATGACAAAGTGGAAGAAAAATTCTAACATTTAAAAAATATTCATGAACATTTTATAACTAAAATATAGTAGTTGCATAAGTGGGGGGGGGGGGGGGGGACTAGATACATAAAATGTTTTCATTTCTAAATGAAAAAACAAATACAGTGCATTCAGAAAGTATTCAGTATTCAGACGCCTTGACCTATTCCACATTTTGTTACGTTACATCCTTATTCTAAAATTTTTGAAAAAAAATGTTTCCCTCCTCAATCTACACACAATACCCCATAATGACAAAGCAAAAACAGTTTTTATTTTTGTGCAAATGTATTACAAATAAAAAAAGTTGAAATATCACATTTACATACGTATTCAGACCCTTTACTCAGTACTTTGTTAAAGCACCTTTGGCAGCTATTACAGCCTCGAGTCTTCTTGGGCATGACGCTACAAGCTTGGCACACCTGTATTTTGGGAATTTCTCCCATTCTTCTCTGCAGATCCTCTCAAGCTCCGTCAGGTTGGATGGGGAGCGTAGTTGCAGTCTCTCCTGAGATGTTAGATTGGGTTCAAGTCCGGTCTCTGGCTGGGTCACTCAAGGACATTCAGAGACTTGGCCCAAAGCCACTCCTGCGCCACTCTTGGCTGTGTGCTTAGGGTCATTGTCCTGTTGGAAAGTGAACCTTCGCCCCAGTCTGAGGTCCTGAGCGCTCTGGAGCAGGTTTTCATCAAGGATCTCTCTGTACTTTGCTCCGTTCATTTTTCCCTCGATCCTGACTAGTCTCCCAGTCCCTGCCGCTGAAAAACATCCCCACAGCATGATGCTGCCACCACCATGCTTCACCATAGGGATGGTGTCAGGTTTCCTCCAGACGTGACGCTTGGCATTCAGGCCAAATTGTTCAGTCTTGGTTTCATCAGACCAGCAGTGATGCAGGTGTTTTCTTGCGAACATATCTGAAAAGGAAGATGGGTCTCTAATGAAATATTCAGCATGGTGGAGGAATGTTGGTGACCTGCAACATAACACAAGTCCCAGAGGGAAACTACTGGGGTAGATCGCTAAGAACATCAACAGATAGATTTGTTTTAGATAGGCCTAATCTTATCTCGATCTTTAGAGGCATTAGGAAAAACCTTCATCTGAATAATTTAGTTTCACTAAGAAACAAGAAAATAGTGAAAGCGTTGATCGATATCTTCATCAAATGTAGTATGCTATACTAAGCTCTAGTATATTCTCTATCAACATTCAAGTATCAATTAAGTATGGTTGGATTCACAAAAAGTCAATAGCCATATATTGCACATATACTTTGATTTGATTTTAAATAGATCCTTTCCTCCTATGAGTCTTGTCTTCTGCTTTTATACAGTAGGTCTGTCTGAAACATCATGGAGGGTAATAACAAACAACAGAGACAAAGATCACGAGAAAGATCACATGACAGATCACAAGAACGATCCCCAGAGACATCTCCTGTGATGGTTCCGGCAACCCAACCACGCTCCCCAAAGTTCTCCTGCTGTTTGGGGATGGCGTCTGATGAACCTGTAGACATCCCAGCTAGTAATGTACCACCAGGTGAGAAGAGAATGGTTTATCGCTACACATTCAATCTAACTCTAACTCCCTCCCCAAATGCTCTGTCTCTGAATAGCCTGTTTCTCCCCTCAGACTCTATTGTGAAGCCGCCCACCAGACAGTCTCATGTCAACAACCCAGACACCAATGAACACATAATATGGTAGGGAGATTAGGGATAGTGAGGACACCATTTGGTGAAAATGACTCATGTAGGGAGTTTTGGAGGAAAACATTTGGGTGATGGGGGTGGCATAGTCCTCTCAAAGTAAGTTTTCCTATTACTGGTGATTTATTCCCGTTTTGTTCTGCAGTTCGGAGAATACTAAGCTGCAAGCTTTGCCCACTGGTGCCAAGAGGCCGAACAATCCCCAACAGCCAGGGCCCTCTAGTTGGAAGAAGGACAAAGGAGGGGACCAAGATGGAAGGAACGAGCTCAGCCAGGGGTCCAGTCAGGTGAGCCAACAACAGTGTCATTGTAATAGAACATCTGGGCTCAAATCTATGAAATACAGTGAGAGGTTAATGAGCTTCAGAGTTTAAATCTGTCCTCTCTAAGGGATACTGCAAATTTCTAACAATGACCTTTAACCAAAGTATGATCATTTTCTAACCTTACATGGTTTGTTTTTGTTGTTTCTCTTAACAAACCCAGAAGCAGAACCAGGTTCAAAATATCAAGTTTCTGATCAATGTACCCATGTGGGTGCCACTACCTGAAAACAACCAACCAGAGGACCAAATCAAGTCAGACAACAACCAAACAGAGGACCAAATCAAGTCGCAGGTTCAAAGGTTACTGACATTGCTGGAGGAGACAGGCTTTAAGGAGGAAGACAAGGAGCACCTGAAAGACATGGCCATCATCATTGGTCTCAATGGAAAAGATTATAATGTGCTCAGGAAGCTGCTACCTCAGCTGGTAGAAAAAGGGAGAGAAAAAAAACATTGATGTATACAAATATTTCATTTACCTGGGGACCCAATGGTGAAATTAAATATGACCCAAAACCTGACCCTAAAAATAAAAATAAAAATAAACAAATACCATATACGGATATCAGAGAATATATAAAAGATCATGCAGAAACAAAAAATATTGTTACAGAGTTGAGAAGAATGGATACTCATACTCTGATCTATTTCAGTTTTATTGACGCTGATACTGTAAGCTTTAACCAAGTGTACAGCTCTTATTTAGAGGTAGTCAGACAGCACTCTAACACTCACAATGGCATCCCACCAACGGTGATGTCAACAGGCTATGAGTTTCCTGATGGTGATTTCAAGAAGGCAAGCCAGGTTGACAATGGCGTTCGAATTGAGACAGCAAAATACTTCCCTCTTGGCACATATTATCCAGAGCCCAACTTCTGTGTTTTACTTCTAGAGGGGGAGGACACACTAAAAGAGAGCTTTATTGGTAGAGGCAAAGAAATGGAGTCACCAAACATGATGAGAAAACTTAAGGAACGTGATAAATTCACAGCAGTCTTTACCAAGGGCAACCCCATAGTGACCACTGTTCCAGCAAGGTTTAAAGTCACTGAACAGTGCCTGAGAACTGCTCAATCACATTATCAACCTAGGGTTTGGGCAACAAGTGCATACATGCATCGTGCGATAAAGAGTGAATTAAAAGGCATTGGAAGTTTTGGTAAAACAAGAAAACATTTGATGGCACTGTTGACTTGTCCAGATGAGGAATTTAAGGAGAAGTGTGCTGATCTTCCTCTGAAAATAAATACTGCATATCATGACCTGTGTACGGCAGCTGCTGCGGTCCGAGAATACAAAAAGAAAGTGAGAGAGGCTGAGAACCAACGGGATGAGAGCAGGCAGGCAGAGAGCAGAGCAAAACAATCAGAGACGTAAAACATATATACTAATGGCAGCTCTAAAGCCTAGACTTATGTTGACAAAAAAATCTGTAGCCTTACTTTTGTTATTACTTTTATTTTGCCGTAATGTATTGAGGCACTGTTATTGTTTGTACCCTGGGGACTTTTATTTTGAAAGCGATAGTATTCCCAAAGGCACCTTTGAGAGAGAGTGGAGAAAAATACAGAGTGGATGTTGATGACTGCTTGGCTGTATCGCTTGGTCCAGAGAAATTGTTATGAGAATTTCTATCTCTAATTCAACCTAAGCTTGAATCATTACCAGAGGTTGTAAGGCTCTGGTTTTAATCATAAATGATTCAAGGTCCACAACCAGCAAGAATGATCTGTATTTTTATTAATGGAGAGCTCTGGCGCCAAAACCCATACACTCCTGTTTTATACCCCTTGACACACAAAGGCATTTTGCTCCGCCCACCTTTAGGAGGCTTTTTGTAACCCATTTTCTCAGTCCCCTTCACCCTGGAATGTTTAGTCCCGCCCCCCTCTGTTAGTAGGTTGACAATACATTATAATTCTAACACAGTTTACACATTTATACTGTATTTGGGGTGAAATCCTTTAGTCATTATTCTTAAAATACAAATTAATCTAACAGAAATTCAACTACACGTAATAGTTTTCCATTGTAACCCGTGTTTTACTTTTACTGCCAATCCACAAGTCCTCTGTTGGAGGTAGTGTTTAATATCTACAACCAGAAATAAGGGTTAAACAAATCTATCCAATCCAGAATGAGAATGTCATATCCAAACAGGACATTAAATTACCTTATGACTGGATTAATCTCTTGTCGTACACAACTATGGGTGCAACCATTTGTGCCAGAATACTCACCAGACATCAGCTTTCATGGTGTAGAGGTGAGGAGTGATATACAGTATATGCCAATTAGGAATGAGGGATATAATAAGTTAGCCAAGACACCAGGGTTACACCACTTACTCTTACAATAAGTGCCATGGAATCTTTAATGACCACAGTCAGGACATCCGTTTAACGTCCCATCTGAAAGCCTGCACCTTACGCAGGGCAATGTCCCTGTCACTGCCCCTGAGCATTGGGAACTCCTTAGACCAGAGGGAAGAGTGCCCCCTACTGACCCTCTAACACCACTTCCAGCATAAACATATTTGTTGTGTCCTCTACAAGAGCGCGATTCAATCCGTAGCGCTAAAGATCTGCGCTATAGTGCGATTTAAATTTAAAGGTAATTTCCGATTGTTATGCAGCGTTTACCGTGAATGCAGTCTCCGCAAATGTGGGAACATTGCTTTTAAATTAAAATCTCTGTGTTTTCCATTTGAACATGCATGTAGGGTAGATAGGGTTTGATGGAAGAGTAGAGAAACTTGTCTGACTGTGCGACCACATTACTGCCCTTCAGGCTGTGATGAGATTTATATGAACTGAATACTTTAATCTGAATTAATATTAACAAAGAGTTTTTGATATAATACAGTGATATATAGCATGAATGGAAAATACCTTTTAGTTTGAACTAATCATAATGCCTAGCCAGAACTAACCATTTTATAAAACTTAATAAAGCTATGCTATGTAATGGTAAGATTCTTCCTTGCCGAGTCCTCCTATACTCACAGTTGTAATTAAGTACTTTAACAATGTGTACCTACACTGTAATTGTATAACCATGCCATGTACTGCATGTTCTAACCATCATTCTAACCATCACATATTATGACCAGTAATCACAGACAATTAAGTTTTGACATGAGTGATTTGATGATTTCACTATATTTTTTCAGTCAGTTTTTGCCTGCTTTATAATAAACAGATGGTAAATCCAATGTAGTAGAAACACTTTATTGATAACCCCCATCTCTTATCAGATGTGTGACTTCAATGCACTCTCACTGTTAAACACACATCAGAGTTAGAATTTTACTCAGACACTGAAAATGGATGAGGTGAACCTGCAGGAAGAAATGGTGCCAAGAGAAGACTTGACTATTCAAGTACATTTTTGAAATATTTTCTTTTATTTTTTTGTCTGAAATTACAGCAATATATTCATAAATACCTAATTACTACATTCAACAAATAATATATTACATTACAATTAATTCAAACAAGTACATTTTAAAATCAGAGTTTCACAGCATCTAGAGTCTAGACGTCCTCCATAGAGTAAGGGGGCTATTGCGTGTGCGTGCGTGGTAAAGGAGGCTCTGGGGAAGGGCCTAACGTCCTTCCGCTAGCTCATTGGCTACTTAACTCAGTGGTAGCGCGTGCTGTCTGATTGACAGGCGGTGCTCCTATCGTAGCTCTGCTCTAGTCTGTAAACATGGTTCCGCCTCCCTAACTGGGTGTTCCTCTGAAAGCTCACCAGGAGTGGAACAAAAAGGGATGTAGGGACCAGACCTGCAGCCACCCTTCCCCTCCCTGCCATCTCACATCCACAACATCAGACTGGAGTTCAAACAGAACCCCTTTTGGACTACATACTCAAAGCGTTGTGGAAATCGGACTGACAGTACTACAATACCCACGCTGCATTGCGATCTATGCTGTCGGAGGTCCTCCTGCAAGGCTAAATGTTTTTTTCTCCAAAACTACAGGACAGACACTCCCACAGAAAGAAGGTAGGGGAATAGAGAGACTGGGGAACAGGCGTACTGAGGCACAGGAGACTGCTATGGCCAGCAGCGAGGTGGACACTGATGCAGGCATGAAAACACACACTATAAATGCACAGTGCAGAGCAGGACAATGATTCATATACTTGGCAAAAGAGAACCTTTCATTGACTTTGGATTTGAGGGCCCTCAAGTGGAGAAAAAAATCATCCATTATCCAATTGTTGGCAAGGGATTTGACATTATGATAAGTGGGATCAATGTAGTAATATAATACGTTTTGAAGTGGGTTGGCCATTTAAATTCAGGGAGTTAGCTTAATTACTCTATTTGGAGGTTTAAAAAAGTATCATGATATTTTGTGCGAGGAAGGGCTACTTTTTGGCACTATTTCCTTTTATGGCAAATACAAAGGAGAAGAATCTCAGGAGATCTCACTCGGTGCATTGTCACATTGCCATGTGGTACTGACTGCATTGTTCCCTCCTCTCTGTGGGTTTAGTGATGATATGAATATCTCATCATAATGGGTGTTGTGTCCCTCGTGCTTAATGATAAGGTCCAGAGAGATGTGTCTAGTTATCAGTTAACAGTTCTACTAAGCACCCATCCCTGGACTAGGGCTAAAGGGGGAATATAGAGAGAGAAAGAAAGAGGTATAAAATAAAGGATGACACAGTAACTGTAGCTGTCACTCACTCTTCCCCATGGGTAACTACTCACACAGGGAGAGTAGCAAAACATGCTGTTCCTGACAGGAGGGGTTCTGTGTGGGGCTGGTGTTCTAACGGAGTGCATGGATCTGGGAGGCCTGTGGGGCCTGGAGTTAGGTCTTACCCCCATCTCAGTGAGCCTTACTGGGCCTGGAGGCCAGGGGAGGGAGGGCTGTGGCTGGAGCTCAGGCTGCTGCTATGGCTGCACACATGGCTGGTCAAAGGGGGAGAGGAGAAGAGGAGCGGAGTGGAGCATGTTCTCTCTCTCCTTTTCTCCTTCAATCTACACCTCCGAACAGGGCTGTCCTGGCCAGCAGCAGAACAAACACTAAAAGCAATGCTTTCTGTTTCACCCAAAACAGCATTAACATATAAAAAAATGGCAGGCTTATTTTCTTCTTCTTAAAAGAACAATGATTAAAGTAATAAAAACATACAAAATTATTTTTAGTCTTAATATTATTTACAATACAAGGCCGAAGCACCTTTTAAATTCTTATTCTCATCTCGAAATAAAACATTTCCTTTATTCGTTCCAAAATGTGCATTTTGTAAGTTCTTTCCTAATTTGAACACAGTTCTTTGTCGTAACACAGTACCACCAGGTAGTTCTTCAGGTCTTTCTCTTTAAGTGCATTTCAAGTTTGAAAGCTGGCCTGACCTGCCGCCAGGAGAGATGCTGTCCGATTGGCCAGAGGTAGGGGCATTGGATTGGTGGTAGATGGCGCTCGGTCACGT